TCCGAAATGGAAAAGATTCAAATGAAGCTTTCTGAAAACAGCCATGTGTTCATAAAAAGATTTCCAATAGACTCTTCTCATAATTGATAAGTACTTAAAATTCAGTATCTATTTATAAAGAGTCTTACATTGGCTTCTAGGGGATCTTTTAAATGGAGTTATTTTTTCATACCCCTGTTTTTGAACTGAAAAAATATGGAAAAAAATATATATATACATATATATATATATATATATATATATATATGTATATATATATTCCCAAGTCTAGACTTACTTGGGCCCTGGCTATTTAGAGTCTACGTTTGGTGTTCTTAAACCCCCTGACACATTCTTTTCTTTCATCTCTGTGATTCCTGGCCACTCTTCGCAGTATGTCTGGCTAATCTTCCTGACATTTCTGGGGCATAAATGGACCCAGAATATGTGACCAGGGAAAAATTCAGCTACGAATGTAGTTCTGTACTGTTTTTTATATAAAAGATTTTCTTTTATTGATATGGAAATGAATAGATGTCTGATAACCTTCTGCCAACCTGGAACATTTCTACTTACCCCAGGGAGTTCTTTGGGGCTGATGTTTCATAGGGCTTACACTGTCAATTCAAAAGTTCTGTAACAGATCTCGAAATGATCTAGGATAGCCCCAAAATGGGAGATTCGTTCCTTGGCCCGCATTTCTGGCTCCGTGCCTTGACTGTGTATAAAACAGGAAAGATGCTCTGGCCAATGGATATGAAATGGTTTTATATTTACACAGTGGGACACTACAATGGGTAAAAGGACTGATTTCACTTAAAATCCCAACACTTTACAAAACCACATTCTTTCCTTTTATCTGACCACTTCCACTTACTAGCCCTAGAAAAGAAATGATATAAACCCAATAAGTACTTTTTTTTACTGACTGAAGTTATAAGTCAATCCAAATGGTTTACAGTCTGTCACCAGGCAAAAATCTTGACTCACTCAGGTGAGTTGCTATTTGAAAGGTGGGATCCAGAGCATCATTAAGAGTTATGTGAGCTCACAGTTGTCTCTTCTACGTTCCTCAGTCTGTTTCATTCCTAAATCTGCCTTTATTCTCTATCTCTTCCAAATCCATTATCACCTTTCTCTATGAGTTCCCCCCAAATCTGTATCTCTTCCCATTTCCTGCCTCAGTCAACATTACCCCACCCACCCAGTTACCTAAGCTAGAAACCTCCGAGCCGTGTAGCCTTCTGCCATGAAGTCTCATCCTCCAGTGGACACATGACTAGTACTGAGAGTGCTCAGAACTGGGTGGTCACGCCTCAGGCCACTAGAGCCACTGTCTAACTCCTGGGACCAGCCCGACTCCCCTGCATGGGCCCGCCAGCACTTTACCTCCCCTCCTTAACCAACTGTTTCAGAGACAAAACTGGGGGAATTCAACAGTGCTGGCTACCTACCAGTGGGCATGATGTGAGAATTCATATGGCAAAATGATATTTGGGAAATGTACTGATGAAATCAGAAACTGAAAGTGGATAATATTTTGCAAGAAAAGCCCTAAATTCTGTAAAACATAAATCCCATAGAATCTTGTCTAGTTAATAATCATAAACCTCCACATCTTGGACTTCCCTGGTGGTCCAGTGGTTAAGACTCCACGCTTCCACTGCAGGGGGTGCGGGTTCGATCCCTGGTCAGGGAAGTTCCGCGGTGTGGCAAAAAAAAAAAAAGATAAACCTTCACCTCTTTCTCTAAAGAATGGAAGCACTTTTCAAGCCTCACCTAAAATAATTTTTTGACATTCTAATCATTTAAAAGATCCTCTAGAGTCTGAATCATTTTTTCCTTAGTGTATTAATGGGAAAGTTAAAATACAGAGGAAAACTGATTTACTCACTGTCAAAAAATAAATCGGTGGTGGAGAAAGAACTAAAACCAAATCCCCCCTAAAATTATAAGGTTCCTGGATGTACTATTCTGCCTTTGACTTTTAAATGCCTGCCGAGGAGACTTTTAATACCACCTCACAGAACGTAATACTCTATGTAAGAAAAGAGTCCCCAAATACAGCTAAGCATCTTAAGTGAATTACAAAGATGATTTTTGCTAATTACCTCTCAAAAACATGCCTTTATCTTCCAGACCCTTACTCTTCAGGGCAAACTACATGTTGGAGTCACAATGACCTCTCTTGTTCTAATGAAACTTAACTCCTTCTGTGCCTGAGGGCTACGGAGGTCCACAGTTTGCTCATAAATCTGGCTCAGGGAAGAATAAAGGCCTTGTGTTGGAGTTACGCGGGCCTCCATCCATGGTGCTTGAAAGAACACAACATTTGTTTGGTTAAAATGCTGCAAACTTTAAAAAAAAATGCTGCAAACTTTAAAGGTGTAATGGAAATATTACCTGAGGGTACCAATACTTAAAAAAGAAAAAAACCCTATAATTATTATTCCCAGAGACAGGCAGAGGATTTGTAGTTAAAATTCTGGCCCCATACCTTATTACTAACAATGAGGTCATCTGAACAACCCTTGTTTCTGGCTAAGTCTTATGTTCTCCCCTGCACCACATGTCATGTTTCACTGTGCTACATCACATCTTAAACTCCAGGCAAATTCATGTGTGCACTTCAAGTGACCCCATGTGACTGTCCCCAAGACTGACAGCTCTTCTCTAGATGTGCCTGGATCACTTTAAATTGGTGTAGAGCATTGAGGTTCCCCAGATCCAGCGTTTCCTCTGGAGCCATTACTCTGATAATATAATCAGTTTCCCAGCATCACTTTTATTTCATCCCATAAATAAAATTGCCAAATATATCAAGCTGCCTCCTATTGCACTGTGAATGAATTTTCCAGGCTGCTTCAACAAAGCCAAAAATCTACTTTGTCACATGACTCCACAAAACATGATGGATGCATTTAAGTTTCAACATTTGTTTCTTCTTCCTATAGATTTCCTTTCCTCCCTCCACTTTTATGAAAAGAGTATATTTTAATTTACCTTGGCACACACGGAGCATTCAACAACACAAAGAAGTTACTGTAAGAACAGGTCCGCAAGAATGTTCTAGAATAAATTGGTAGGCTGCAACTTACTAGGATTGCCAAAAATATATCTTTAAGAACCAAAGTTCTTGGGCTTCCCTGGTGGCGCAGTGGTTGAGAGTCTGCCTGCCAATGCAGGGGACACGGGTTCGTGCCCTGGTCTGGGAGGATCCCACATGCCGTGCAGCAACTAGGCCCGTGAGCCACCACTACTGAGCCTGAGCGTCTGGAGCCTGTGCTCCGCAACAAGAGAGGCCGCGATAGTGAGAGGCCTGTGCACCGTGATGAAGAGTGGCCCCCGCTCGCTGCAACTAGAGAAAGCCCTCGAGCGGAAACAAAGACCCAACACAGCCTAAAATAAACAAATTAATTTTTTTAAAAAAAGAGTTAAATTAAAAAAAAAAAAAGAACCAAAGTTCTTCAAAATTTATCAGCTGGTGTAGTCTGGTTATACAGACTTACAGCATCCCACACTCTTCCTCTGTAGCACTCACCGCAAATGGAAACAACTTATGAATTGTGCATTTTGTGGTTAATGTCTGTATCCTCCATTAGAATATAAGCTCCATGTGGACAAGGGCTGTGTGTACCTGTTATTTTATTGCTGTGCCTAACACAGTTCCTTGAGTGTAGTAGGTAATCAAATAATATTGATAAACAATCACAAGAGTAAATAAATCTGTGAGTGAAAAGCGTGTTAAATCAGAAGATATGGCATGCAAGAGTGAAATAAGCTTTTAGAGTCCCGGAGATTTACTTTTAGGGGTGTCCTGACAGATTTATTATGAAACTATGAAAATGGCATACTGACAACAATCTACAAGTTAATTATTCTTGAGATAAATTCGGGATTCATAAAACCAATTCTCTTGGTGGCAATTTTCCACATTTAAAATTTTACAACTCCTGCGGGTATCTGTTTAATTTAACCCTTGCGTATGAAAAGATCAATGTGTGTATATTTGGATAAGCAGAAACGGCAAGCAGATGCAGCTATTCCTAGACTCCACTACTCAAAATCACATTTCACTTCAAAAGTCACAGAAGTATAAACCAGAAAGTGCCACTGAACAGGGTCAGAATTCTCTACAGCAATTCACGCTGTTTTCTTGATATTCCTCTCTAAGCACTGATAAAAAACTCTTTGAAGTGAAAGAGTAAATATTATCATTTGATAGTACTTAGACCGAACAGTGCAAATACAACTGCATTGTGTTACACTCTGGGGACACACACAACGCTGGCAGGGGTGCCATGGAGGAATCAACGTGCTCAGCACTGGTGCAGGCAGGAGGGAGCCCCGCTCAAAGAACTACTCACCCCTTAATCTTCCTCTGATAGGCACACAGAGGTTAGGGGGGAATGCTGACTTTCCAATATGTGTTTCTGTTTTGGTAGCCCTGGGAAGGAAGGCTCGCGAATAGGCAATGGGAAATGCCAACTCCTAATTATCAGCCCGCTTTTACTACTCCCTCCGACATTTTTGTAAATGATCACGGATGGGGGTGGGGAGAAAAATCTAAGGAGTCGCCCCGGTAGGGGGTCGCGGAAAGGAAAGAATCCCAGTAGCTTGTGTCAGCGTGTCCCCGGCCTGCGACGCGGCAAAGGCCTGTGGACGCGCGGGAAGAGGGTCTCGGGCGAAGGCAGCACCGCGCGGGACCAACGGGATGGATGGGCGAGTCCTGGGGGCACAGAAAGGGCACTCTGAGGAGTGGAGGGCAGCAAGAAGAATAACCTGGGCAGCCCCGGTGGGCGGCGAGGCCTGGAACCGCGTACGCACCATCCAAGCACTGCGCCCGGGGAAGGTCTGGCGGGGGAGACGCGCAGGGTCGCCTCCGAGGCCGGGAGCTGACCCGGCTCGGCCAACGCCTTCTCCGGAACCGAGCAGCGCAGAGCGCTTCAGGTCCCCCGATCCACGGCCGCGGCGAGGCGCGCAGCTGTTGCCCGCCCAGCCCTGTCCCCGGCGGCGCTCACCTTGCCGGGAAAGGGCCCCGGGAGGAGCAGCTTCAGAGCCTGCCTCTTCAGCTCCACCAGGCGGGCGTTGCAATTCTCGCACCAGACGCCGCGGTCCGATCCGGGGGAGGAGCCGCCGCCGCTGCCCGAGCCCGGGGAGCCCGTGCCGAAACCTGGCGAGCCGCCCAGGGAGCCAGGCGAGCTGGTGCCAATGCCCGGGGAGGCGGGGCCCGGGGAGCCCGTGAAGGAGCTCGGGGACGAGGTGCCTGAGCCGGGGGACGGCGTCCCCGACGAGCCAAGCGCCGAGCCCGCGCCCTCGGGAGTGGGGCGGCTCCCGGCGCGCGACTCTTCGTATGCTTTCCGGTACCAGCTCTCCGGGGAGAAGGGCGCCGCGGGCTTGGTGGGCGAGCAGACTTCATTCACCTGCGGGGGAGACACACGGTGTCAGGGGCCGCAGGGCGGCTGGCTCCCGCGCCTCTGCCCAGGGCCGCCCTCCCGCCTGCCCGGGGACCTGCGCGCCACCGAGGACCCGGACAAGCGCCCACGGGCGCACGTTAGGGGCCGCTCTGAGCCCTGCGGCCAAATCTGCCTCCCTATGTCTAGTTAATTGTGTTTAAGTGAATCCCCGTCGCCCGGGTGACCCCTGCACCGGTTCCCGGGAGGCGGCGGACTCCTCTGGTTTGGAGGAGAGGGGCTCACTCGCTCAGGGAATTTCGATGGTTTCTGCAGAGGAACCCACGGATTCAGCTCCCCGCGCTTTTGAATCCGGCACCCACCTCAGCAGGAGCTCACTTTTAAGATCCTGGACGACGGGGGGCGGGGGGCGGCTATGACTTTTGGATTTTTATTCATTCAGGGCAAGGCCCTCCGGATCTTGAAGGTAAATGAAAGGTTCTCCCGCCTCCAGGAAAACGGTCCCTTAAGAACAGCAGAGAAATCGTGGGAAACCCTCCCATTCGGCTTAACTCTGCTTAGAAGTGCAGGAATGCTGCAAAAGTTAGGGATGCGGGGAAGAGAAGGAAGGAGAGGGCTGCAAAAATTCCGAGGGCTGGCGTCGTTGCTGGCGGACCCGCCTCCGCGCGCGCACGCCGTCTGGCCCAGCCGAGGCGCCTCAGCAGCGGGAGGAGAGCTCGGGGCCACCCTGCCCTGGCTGCACGTTACCCGGAAAGGGGAACCCTGGCCGGGAAGAGTCCGGAAACGCGTCTCCGCATTATACCCATCACAACTTACCCCGTATTTCTTGCCCCTGGTGGAGACTGCAAGCCTCTCTTTATTCCCAGCTACCGAATTCATGGTGGCTTTTCCAGAGGAGAGTGTCTAAATGTTCCACCAACGCTACATCCAAAAGGTCTTCCAACCCAGAAGGGTGTCCAGTTGTAGGGGGCTGTCTCTTGGCCCTCAAGTCAAGGTTTCTTAACTGAAGGGGGCGGGGGGATAAAAGCAGATGGACCTCAGAAGTAACAGCACTAATTTGCAGAAGGGTTGCAATGCCTGGTTTATTCTTCTCTTCAAATAATGCGTTTCCTCCTCTTCTGCCTTCTCCAACCACACGTTCTCTTTTCACGGTCACATCCAGATAATTGGCGTTCTCCTCAGCCTAGTGAGTCCGTTTTCCTCCACGAGGGAAAAGACGAGTACAATCGGGGCACACGGCAGCTGCAGACAAGGTGGGCGGGCCCCCGCCTCGCCTCCGCCGGCGAGCCGGCTCTGGGAACTTGTCTCCTTCGCGGAGCTTGGTAACTGAGTTCAAAGAAATTCTCCCAAAATATAAAGATCCAGATCGGGGAGGAGCCTCGGCGTGTTGGGGAGCCAATATCCGCCGGCCCGCTTTGCCTGACAGTTGCGCGAGGGCAGAGAGGGGCGGCGGCGTGGCCCGGCCGGCGGGGCGCCCCGGCCGGCGTCTGCGGTCAGGGCGCGCGTGTGCGCCGGGGCGCAGCGCGGAGCCTCGCGAACAGCGGCCTCTCCGGGGAGCCCGCCACCTGGCTGCAGCCGCCGCGCCTGCTGGGATCCATTTTACGTTGCGGCGCTCCTGCCTGACATTGCGAGGCCGAGAGCCGGGGGAGGGGGTCGTAAATCTCTCCTGTTGCGGGGAAGTTGCTGGTGAGTGGCCCGGATCCAGGGCTCTAATGAAATAACACTGCGCGAGCCTGGAGCTGGGGGCAGCGCCGAGCGAGCGCGACCGGACAGAAATGCGCCCGAGCCTCCCCGCCCCCAAGTTCTTTCTCTTCCTGGCAAGGCTTGCAGTTCTGCCTTTGAAACGCCGTGTAAGAGGGACTGAGTCACAAACAAGTCCACAAATATGCCGGGTCCTCCCCCCGGCCTTTGTTCTCCTAGACCTGCCCTGCAAACCTTTTCTGGAATTGCCCTACCAAGCCCGGCCGGCCAGGGGGGCCACCCTCCCGAGCGCAGCGGGAGAACAGGTCCTTCGCCCCCGCCCGCCCGCGACCCAGTGTGTGCTGTGCCTAGCCGCCCAGGGCTGGGCCGCGCGAGCCCGGGGAGCAAAGGGCCGCCGCCGGGAAGGGAAACTGAGGGACTCGCCGCGCGGCACACGCTCGGCGCAGACGGCGCGGGCCTGTAAGGGTGTGTGTGCAAGCTGGCCTTGGCCTCGCCTTGGCCGGGGGTCCCCTCGGCATCCCCCTTCCTGCTCTTCCAGTGCGCAGGGCCCGCCGTGTCCCGGGAGAACCCAGTCATCGCCCTCTCCAGTCCCCCTCCGCCCCCGGCGCAGCGCCTGGAGCGCAGGAAGCCGGCATTTGCCGGGCTCCACACGTAGCTGCTCCGGGGTGTCATTTTTCATCTCCCGGGAGGACATTTCTTCTGGTGAGCCCGCAGGTCTGTCTGTTTTGTTGTGACCTTTAATTAACACCCCGCGAGACGCCTCTCGAAAGGACCAGCCCCGTGCGGTGATCACGTGAGGTGTAACGGCATCTCCGCGCCCGGGAGGGACCTGGCCTGGGGGCATGCGAGGGCGCAAAGGACGCCTGGGGCTTTCCAGCTTCTAGCTTCCCTCTGAGATATGGAGGGGGCAGGAAGACAATATCCTGGGGTGCTGGAGCCCTGTGGCAACGCCGCCCCACACCTGCTTTCCTCAGGGAAAATTCCTTCCGCGCATCCCTCGCACTGCCCTCCGCCCGCCCCTTCCCGCCGCAGCCCTTGCGTGGGAATGTTTCACAGGCACTAAAGCGAGGTAAGAAGGTCAAAATGTAGATGTCGAAAACAGTGTGGAAGTTTCCATTACGTTCCTACTTCCCATTTAAAAGTGATCGTATCAAGAGAAGACCTTAGGGGTCAGGTACACCTCCGGGCAACACCAGACAGCTTCCATCCCCATCTGTATTCCGCGGAGATGCTGCGAAAATAGCATAGCCATTAGCTACGCACCGCTCATCTGCCGAAAAGCAGCGTGTGGCCAGGTGAAATGCAGAAGCCAGTGAGCCGAGGGTGGGGAAGGAGTGGTGTCGAGGAAGAGTATTGGGGAGCTGGGAAATTCACCTTGGAGACAGAGGAGACCCGAGGTGGTCTGATTTGCATCCCAAAGTAGCTGGGGCTCCAAAGCGTGTTTGGTGAGCTCGGAGCGCCCTCTGTCGATCAAAGTTTACAACCAGAAGCCCCGCAAGACAGTTTGATTTGATGCTTTAAAAAATGGATGTGAAATTTACATACCGTGAAACGCACAATTTTTTTAAGTGTACAATTCTCTGAATTTTGATAACTGTACACTCCCAGGTAAGCCACCACCACAATCAAGTTATATATTTCCATCGTTCCAGAAAGTTCTTACCTTCCTCTTCCCAGGTGATCCCCATCCCTGGTACACAATCACAGCTCTGATTTCTATCACCATAAATTAGTTTTACCTGACCTTGAACTTTTTATCGGTAAAGTTCATGCAGCGTGTATTCTTTCGTGTTTGGCTTTTGTTGCTTAACGTGAGGTTTTTGAGCTTCATGTTGTTGCTAATATCGATCTGTTTTCTGTGTGTACTCTGTTTTTCATTCCTGTCTCTTCTGCCTTCTTTTTGTTAATTGATTTTTTTTTAGTTATTCCGCTTTCATCCCTCTATTAGCCTTTTAGCTGTAAGGATTATAATATGCATCTTTAACTTGGGCTACTTAAGAGTTAACTTTGTGCCACTTCACCTAAAATGTAAGAAACTTGCAACAGGATAATTCCATTTTGCCTCCCTCCTTTGTGCTACTATTTGATGTATTTTATATCTACATACATTGTAAAACCCATAATACAGTCTTCTCAATTTTACTTTAAACAATTTGTTGTCTTTTAGTGAAACTAGTACATTTTAAATATGTGGGTTTTTTTATATTTACCCGATTTTATCATTTGGGGGACTCCATTTTTTTCCGGTAGAGCCAACTTTCCAGCTGGGTCATTTCCCTTCAGACTGAAGAACTTCCTTTAGCATTTCTTATACTGAGGGTCTCTGGGCAACAAATTCTCTCAGCTTCTGCTTATCTGAAAATGTCTTTGTTTCACTTCGGAGCTTGAAGAATAGTTTAACTGGATGCAGAGTTTTTGGTTGACAGTTATTTTTCTTTCCACCCTTTCAAGATGTTCATTGCCTTCAGCTTAGAAGCCTTCCTTGCTTCTGATCAGAGGCCAGCATTAATTCTTATGGGAATTCCCCTATGTGTAATGTGTCCTTTTTCTCTGGATGCTTTGAAGATTTTCTCTTTACCATTGGTTTTCAGCAGTTTGGCTATGATGCTCCTGGATGTGGGTCTCTCTGTATTTATCCTGCTTAGGGTTTGCTGAATTTCTAGGACCTATAACTTGACTTGTAAGTTTTTCACCAAGTTTGGGGAAATTTCAGCCATTATTTATGGAATTTTTTCTGTCTTTTCTCTCCTTCTGGGACTCCAATTACATGTATATTATGACACTATTTGAATTGTCCCACCAGTTACTGAGGTTCTGTTAATTATTTCAATCTTTACCCCTTTATTCTTCAGACTGGATACTTTCTATTGACCCTTTATTAAGTTCACTGACCCTTACTTCTGCTATCTCCAATCTCTGTCAAGCCTATCCAATGAATTCTTCATTTCAGATACTGTACTTTTCAACATGTACATACATAGTTTCTCTGCTTCTTTTTCCTTTAAATCTGTGAACATGGTTATAATGAGAGCTTTAATTTCTTGCCTGCTAATTCCAACATCTGGCTCATTTGGGGGTCCCTTTCTATTAAGTGATTTTTCTCTTGACTCTGAATCACATCTTTCTGTTTCTTTTCATATCCACTGAATTTTAATTGTATGCTGAATATTGTGGCTATGACATCATAGAGATGTTAGATTCTATTATCTTCCTTTGAAAAGTACTGAGTTTGTTCTAGTAGACAGTTAAGTTAGTGGTGGGTCACCTTAAACTTGTAGAGGCTTGGCTTTATACTTTGTTAGAGCAATTAGTTCTGTTTAGTTTTCGTCCTTAGTCCTGGGACTTGTTCTTTACCCCTGAAGTATGGCCCTTCTAGGGTTTTTGTGGAAAGTCTAAAGTGCTTACCGGGCCCCTCTAACTAGGGACTTCAACTCCAAGCTCTGCTCCCCTGCAGTGATAGCAGCTGAAATCTCTGCTCCACTCTTTCAGCTTCTAGATGCTCTTTCCCCTGGACTTCTTGTAGCTCTTCCACGTAGGCAAAATTCAAAACTATCCACCAAGGATTTGAGGGAAATGAAATGTGGATTTTAGAGCTGCCTCACTTTGACTCTCTCCTTTCTGGGATTTTTCTCCTTCCTTTCCAGCTACAGCCCTAAACTCCGCCACGTAATGCCTCTAACCAATAAGACTGGCTTTCACCTTGAGTTATAGCCACTCTGCCCAGCAGACTGGAAAAACCCATGTAACCCTTGTTTCAAGGATTGAATCCTTGAATCCCCTCCAGTCTCTGCCTGCTTTTGGCCACTCTCCAGTGCCTTGAAATATGTTTTTGTTGTTGTTGTTATCCAGCTTGTAATTGTTTTCTTTTGGAAATTTAATTGTATATAAAGCACTCCCTAATTTTAGCTTAATGGTGGCTTTTTCAAGTTGACCTTAGGTTTTTAGAATTCTTGTAGTTTTTATTTTGTGAGTTAGCAGCCTAAAGAGTTAGTCTCTAAAGAAACTAGCTATAATTTTGTTTTCTATCTAACTGAAGTTTTTTAGTGATGCAACCCAAGCCCTCACTGATAGATAGACAGAAATCTCTAGATCTATGTAGGCATGCGTCAGTTCAGTTCCAGACCACCGCAATAAAGCAAATATTGCAATAAAGTGAGTCACGCGAAGTTTTGGTTTCTTAGTACATATAAAAATTACCTTTACACTATACTGTAGTCTATTAAGTGTGCAATAGCATGTTTAAAAAACGTACATACCTTAATTTATAAAAATACTGCTAAAAATGCATCATCTGACAATGCAGGGTTACAAACCTTCAACTTGTAAAATACAAACAAACAAAAAACATTGTATGTGAAGCACAGTAAAATTAGGTGTGCTTGTATATTTGACAGTGTTAATGGAATTACTTCAAGATTTAGGTTAAAAAAAAAACACTCATTTTATGAATGAAAAAATTACATACTGGCTTCCAAAAACCCAGAGCTTCTATTAACACAAATTTATTTACTCCATTGATACCCCTGGGTGAAAAACAGTATCTCCCTGCTATATTCATAAGTACAAAGTGCAAAAAAAAAAAGTTAAGGTCCATTACCTGGCTAAGAATGAAATTCTTATTCCATATTCCTTGTTGCTTACTTATTAAACAGATGTAACTTCTTTGGGAGTGTTTTGTGGGACTTTTATATTTTCAGAAAATGCAATTTAGCTTTCTCATTATACCTCACGGGTGAGTAGCTAATAAATTTTATAGCTAAAATATATTATGT